AACCCTAATAGTCAGTTAAAATACCTTCTGCCTATAAACTTCTTGTGGCAATGACACTGTTTGGTGGCTTGTGTAGCTGTCTGGAATCCAAGGGACACAGCTACGATCCCCCTGCCATGTGCTATTCTGATGACGTGTGCTGCTAGATGTCTGGTAGCTTGAAAATGCCTCATCTGCTGTCCTTCAGAGGCATGTTCAACTATTCCCCTGGTTTATATAACCTCAAAGCAATTTCTTTCATGGCAGAAATGCTTATTCATTCTATTTTAACTGTGCATTGAGCTATAAATAATGTCTCCTTGCAGATAAGAACTTATTGACCTTTTATTGTTTTTTTTCCTACCTTTGGAAGATTTTTCTCCTGACCCCAGCTACTGAAGGAGGCCTTCCCAGACTTAACAATGAAGTTGCCAGATTAACTTTCTCCTGCCAGGCAGCCATGAACGGTGTCAATCCCAAGTTGACTGTAACTTCCCTCATTGTTTCTGCTTGAGCTGTGGCAAAGATGAAACAAGCACTCAGTGGGGCACAGCTGAGACCACTGAAGTGTCAAGAAAACTGAATAACCCCACGATTTCCTCTTCCTCTGACCAGCTGCAAGATAACATCTCCTGCATTACCTTCAAACCACTTTCCCTGCCATATGTTCAAGTCAAAGAGGAATAGCCTGGGCCATTGTCCAGCCAAATGTTTTGCTCTTTAGTGTCTCCTTTTTCTGCTGCTCATTCTAGCATTTTCCTGCTTTTACGTGAGTAATTCTTGCCCTGTGCAATTGAGCCCTGACCTGACATACTCATCATCCAGAAACTGCCCAGAGCTGAAACACAGCATGAACTGGTGTGGCGAGAATTGAAGGTATGTGTTCAGAGCTGATGCTACAGTACAGCGGTGAAGTGGCTGCTATTTTGGCAGCTGATTTTCTGCAGTGCAGGTAACTCTGCTATAGGTTCAAATGCTGATGTTCTTCTGGGGAAGCATTGTCATGGCAGGGTCCTGGGCTGTTGCAGAAAAGGAGAGACTTTGAAACCATTGCAAGCTAATAACGTTCTCAAATCTGAATATTTTAGTGTGTTTGGTTTTTAATGATGATTACAATCTACTCTTTTTGTTGTACATGTTACTGGTCATACCTTGTAAAAATGTGCTGGGAGCTCCTAGCTGTGACCCTTTAGCAAAGGTGGTAGGAAAATTCTGAGGCTGCTCTCCTGGGTCATGGAGAAGTATTATGTTCCTTCATTAATAAAAACTACCGATAGGAGAGAGTATTATATAAATACCATATACACAAAATAATTCAGGTTGGAAGAGCCTTGTAGAAATCTCTAGCCTAAAGCAAGGCCAAAGTCCAAGTCAGCTCAGGGTGTTGAAGACTTTCCTTGTTCAGCTGGATTTTCAATATCACCAAGGAAGGACACCCATGGCCTCCTCTGATTCTTGTGCCACTGCCTGATCACCCTCATGGCAGAGAATAACTCCTCGTATTTGACAGAATATAATCCTTTTGCTGTGCAGCTCTGAGAAGACTCTGGCTCTGTCTTCTCTAGAACCCCGTCAGGGAGCTGCAGATAGCAGTGATCCTCCATAGCCCTCTCTTCTCCAGCTTCTTCAGCTTACCCAAATGCCCTGTGCTACAGCCCCTGACCAGCCTGGTGGCCTCTGCTGGACTCGTTCCCATGTGTCAACATCTGTCCTTGCAGTGGGGCCAAGTGCATTTAATTCATTGCATAAATAATGTGAAACCATGTTAGCCTTCATCTGCAGGGTACAAAGTTCTGCACATGGTCTTGTTAGTTCAGGAAAATATTCACCAGCATTACCTGAATGAAGCTCTATTTAATAAGCTCATAATCACCTGGATATGTTTCCATGTTGATATGTTTTAATCATATCAGTGACTTTGCTTTATTGCTTGGTTCAAACAATGCCCTAGGGCACTAGGTGAGAGGCAGATCTTCCATTTGTTCTGTATCGGTTTCTCTGGGAGTGTGGCTGAGTACAAGTAGTTATTGACCATACTGCAGCCAAGAGAAAGACAAAGATAGAAACTGTGTTGTATTTAGCAGGCATTTTGAAGTGATTAGAGGCAATTTCGTGAAACAGCTACAACTAATTATTATTATTTCCCACTTTTACAACAGCTATTTGTTAATTAAATAACATGACAAAACCCAGGAATGTTTGGAAAAGTGTATTGAGTAATTTATCATTCGTTTATCAGGCTATTACTTACACTGAGAAGTCGCATATTGCCTAAGAAAATTTTCCACATTAGTTTTGATTCTTCCAGAGAATATGAAATCGATACTGGCAAAAACTTCAATGGAAAATGTAAACCAAGAAAGTCTTTGGGTAAGTGAGAGAGGACATTGTGTAATGGCCAAATCCTGCCCTGCTGCCTGCCTGCAGACTCTCTGGTGCTCAAGACCATAACACATGATACCCAGAGATGTGGTACTGCCTTTGCTTGCTAGCAGACCTCTGCCCTTGTGCTGGCTTCTGCATAGATGAGGATTTTCCTTTAGCAAAATGGTCATCAGCCATATGTTGTAGCTGAATTTGAGGATTAGAAGACCACAATGAAGTGGATTACAGCACAAGATCAGTGGCAGGATTGCAGACCAAATCCTCTTTCTAACTGTTCTTCCAGGAGTAGCAAGGAACTGAGCAGTATGTCCCATAGCATGAGCTGAGCCAGCTGCGGGATTTTTCCATGCTCTTATCAGAAGCAGGATAATCTGGACCTGTGGATGTTGACTGGCTGAGTCTGAAACCTGGTTATTTCTGAGTGTTGTTTTTCCGGCTTGCCTGGAGGGACACCTGAGTAGCTTAGGAGAGACTGGTGACTTGACTGTCACAGACTTGAGTCTTCCTAGAATGTCTGTAGGTGGGAGAATGAAGGAATGGATCTGCAGAACATCAGATGGGTGTTGTGGTGATTGAAGGGAATCTGGGTTGCTCGGAGCAAGTGCCAGACCCAGTGCTGAACCTGGCATTTACAGTGGAAAATTTTTCTCTGGTGTATACAGGCCACACACACCAGACTTTGCCACACCAGCCTTTTTCAGGAAGGTGCTCTCCACCCACCAGGAGAGAGGTCTGTCCTGCCTAGAGGACCGCACCATCTCAGGCAGGGAGCAGCTGCATGTGTGCACTGGGCAGGAGGCAACCTGTCCAAAGCTGCCAGGTCAAGGCTGGAAGGACTGGCGAGGATGATCTGCAGTGGTCTTGCTGCCTGGCTGAAGAAGGTAGTAGCACAGTTCATATTTGACCCAGAAAGATGTACCTTCCTCCAGTTGTGCAGAGACTGTATGTCTCTTCTTCAGAGAACTGATGAAGGCAACAGGCATGGCATATGACAGCAGCCTCAGTGTGCTCCTGTGCATGCTCAGGGAAAAGTACTTGGCTTCCAGACACGCCATCCACAAGGCACATTAGGACAATATATCTTGAAGACGTGCTAAATCTGTCTAAAATATTCATGCATGCTCTCCATAATTTATAGAAATACATCCAGCAGCATAATTATTTTAATGCTTCTCCCTGTGAAGAAATCCATCTCTTCTAGGTAAAAATGTAACCTACACATCCATATAGCCATGTTACCGCCTTCATCGCACACCATTACCCAGGAGAGATGATTCCATGCACTGTACAATGTATACTTTTAAGGGTCAAAGCATACCTTGTAGACCACTGCAATATATCAGACACCAACAGAATTTCTTGGGCTAATTTTCAATGATTTAGCTGAATTTCATTCAATTAGTGGGTGGTGCCTTGTTTGTTCAAGGGAGCACCTGTAAAACATCTTTTGTTCTGCAGCTCCAATGGTGCTGAAGTCTATCCTAAGCACAGTGGTTAGCTCCCATGGCAGAAAACCCCGGGTATTCTTGCCATTTCAGACCTGTGAAAGGGATCGTGGTGAGAAACTTATGTTAAAGGCAGAACCCACTTCTGCAAGATTACTCCTACTAAAACAGCAGAGGCCCAGACCTCCTAGGAAGGAGAGATTTGGAGACGGCATGAAGGCTGGAAGTGCGAGACAAACAGCAAAATTGGGACAGGCTCTATGTTTTAAGTATAATTTTCTAAAATATCTGTAGAGGGAAAGGACCTACTGTACTTACAAACGTAGTTGGTGCTATGTAAATAGGTGCCCAAACTTCAAGTGTCTTTTGTTCTTAAGATGTCTTGGAACACTTTGAATTGGTCAGTGTGTTTAACCGTGACTAGGTCTGTAAATAAGTGCTCCCTTATAATAAGGTTCAGGTGACATTTTTAGTGTAATTTGACAGCATATAACCTGCTTTCAAGTCTTCTGCTCAAGTGAAACTGTAAAGAAACCCTTTCTCTTATCAAACCAGTGCTAAATACCATCAGCTGCACAAGTTAGACACCGTAGTGCCAGACTCACCTGACAAAGCTTAACCAGTTCTACTGATGGCAAAGCGACACCTGACCCATGTTCATACCTAGAGGGGAACATCTGGGAATGCAGAAAAAAAACCCACCCAAAGCAAAAGAAACAAAGCAAAGAGTCTTAGCCTGATCTGCAAACAGGATAGTACTGCATGCTCTGCATGAGCTGCTCCCTGATGGGCAATGTTGCTCTGCAGAGACAAATGAAGGACTTGCTGTTTACTCCCCTTGGTATTTTGTGCTCCTTACATTTCTACTCGAATCCTAGACAGACTTCTTTTGTCTAAAAGGCTGTTTGTTTGGTTTTGACCATTGAGAACATGTGATTCTTGTCTCTAGCTATTAACCAGATGTCCAGCCAAAATCAATTGCCCAGCAGACACCTACCATTACCTGAAAGTCAAGACCTCAATAAATATTACCAGGCTCATTGTGCTGGTGACAGATTCTGCTGGTTGTTTTATGTTACAGTTGAACAGTTTAGACATTGCATTTGTATATATTTGTAGTCAGCCTCGGAGAGGCCGTCTCATGATCAGAGCAGGAGCAGGCAGCCTGCAGACTCAAGACGTACTTCCAACATGACCACGGCGGGTGTTTTTGTGCTACTCTCCTTTGTGCTTTGCTGCTTCCCAGGTGAGTAACTTTAATGGCACCACAGAGGCTTCATGTCTGAGTCCTGGCTGTCTTTAAAAAGATAAGATAGTGACTTCAAAGGGCGAAAATCTTCTACAAAGAGCTAGGATGCCCTGGTGCTTTGGCATCACATAAGATGTGGGAGCAGATTTCAGGACAGTCTTAAATGGATCACTGTTGTAACTGGTTGTCTGTCATAAATATAAATAACTGCAGATGGAGTTCTGTGCTGGTAACTAGTGCTTTTATGCTTTTTACGCTGTTGTTTTAACACTGTTACACTGCTTACACTTGTTCTACAATTACAGAAAGTGGATAAATGCTTGAAACAAGGCTGTAACAAGGTGGTCAGACCTTCAGTAACCGGTCACAAAAATATTGCAATGGCACAAGCAAGTTCTTTTCAGGAGTCTGGCAACTTTCCTGCAATACTTTTTCCGCTAATGGAGAAACAAGAGATGAAAACAAGCCAGGGTCTGATGTTATCATTGCATATTTCCATCTGATGAAATTATAAAGTCAAAGGCAATTTTTTTTTTACACTCAGCTTCTTTAAAATGCATAAGCTTGACAACAGATGCTGTATGTATTTGCTTATCCTGTAGGTGACTATTTGCATTTACATTTGTCTGTATTGACTCAGGTTTCTTTTCAGATATCTAACAGTAGCTCTTTAGGGTCAAAATGGGCGTGTAAAAAGATAAGGAAGGAAAGTTATTCTACTTTCTATTAAAACGTCTACTTATCTTGAAATACAAAACCTATTCAAAAACATGTTTCATCACAGCCAGCAATAAGCAGTGCTATTATACTTATCAACAGAGAAAAGAAAAAAATCATACATAGTTTATTTAGCTCAGGAAACCAATCACTGGAAATTAATTTGGTCTTGCATATAGGAATTTCACATCCAGATTTCCAGCTTTAACTGAGGTCTTATCATATTGGCTTTGTTTCACACTTTCTGCCTCTCTCTTCTTTTCCAGACGCTGCCTTTGGGGTTGAGGTGAGTGGAAGATTTCTTTCGGTCACTTTTCTCAGGTATGTGGCTTGTTCAGTTATAGACATAACTGAAGGAACTGGAAAATCCTCAGGACTGCAAATGCTTATCTGTTTTTCAGTTAGTGTGAAATTAGTATCATTGTAATCAGATTCCACAGTATAAGACATTAAATTATACTGTCCTTGGCTCTATATCTATGCTGTATGTTAATAGTGTAGTAGTAGTAACAATATAAAATTTTTTATTAATTCATTTTTCACCAACTTTAAACTGGTCTAAGCTTTAAGCTGGGCCATATATAACTGTGTCTAAAAGGACAGCAATAAGCTGTGGTATCAGAAACTACCTGAAGGCAGCCTACTGGAAGAATAAAATATGACCAAGGTACTCCAGATTCCATGCACCATGTCATTAGCCTTGCTCCTCTGAAAAAAAACCAACCCAAACATTATCAGTGCTTTGATAATGAAAGAGTAATAACAGAAGTGCACTGGAGATGCCAGAAGAATATAAGAATGACAGAGCAACAGATAGCCTTAATAAAAGGATGCCAAGTAAGCATGAGAGTCTACCACTGATTTACTTCATCTGAGGAGCTGTATGGCTGTAGCCCTCTCCTCCTCCTCCTTTTCTGCTGTGTAGGAAGGTCTCTGCAGGAGGTCTCTGCAATCTGTTACCAGATTGACCCACCAGCACAAGTTAGCGCAGTGGTAGTGAAAAACCCAGTGCAGCTTGTATTTAGTCACTGTCTTGTGCAAAATGAGAGTGGTGAACGTAAAATGTCTTCTCCACCCTGTTGCTGTACGTTCCTTTGGCAGGTGGACTGCAGTACGTACCCCAACACTACAAATGAGGAAGGCAAAGAGGTGTTGGTCTGCGCCAAGATCCTTAGCCCCATCTGCGGTACTGATGGAGTCACCTACAGTAATGAGTGCCTGCTCTGTGCCCACAACATGTATGTACTGCATAGGCAGCAATGCTTAGGTCTTCTGGCAGCACCATTTTTTAACAAACAGTGATCTGTCATATGTCACTAATGTCAGTTCCTTCAAAATGAGCTTGGGTATCACTACATGGCACTCCATTGCCTAGACATTGCTTTAGTCACCATGTCTCTCTCTTGCTGGTGTAATTCATTCTCATTTTTCTCTCCAGCTCAAGGACCAGCCAGATGGCAGCCCACAGGGCACATCACGGCAAAGTGGAGCAAAAGGATGGAGAGATGCTCTGCTCTGATCTGCCTCAAATGGTCCTAAAGCTCTTGGGGTCTTTATGTACCTGACAGCCACTCAGTGCTAGCTGGTCAGGGAGGATGGCACTACCTTCTCAAAAAATATCTATGTATATAAGCCTGACTGATAAAGAGTCAGCTTTCTCTTGTATCGGTTACGTATTTCCAGAACCTAGGCTGTAGGAAGGCTTCTTTTTGAACTTCCTAATATTTGTCTTTCTCTTTCCAGAGAAAATGGAACCAATGTTGGCAAAGACCACGATGGAAAATGCAAGGAAGCTGTCCCTGTAAGTGAAACCAAGGGCAAAATAAGAGGCATGTCCCACTTCTCAGTGGCCAGAGCTGCTTGACTCCTCCAAGAAAGAATTCAAACACTAAATAAGAGGATATATGAGATGTCAGAATCTTGCATTGGTCATCTGCAAGTGAATTGTCATCATAGTGACACAGAGAAAAACATTTTTCCTGCTGTGGTGGTATCCTAGGTGGCCAGACAGACACACTCACCAGATCTACTTGCTTCCTGTAAGTAAGCCTTCACCAGTGCTTTGTTGTGTGTTCCCCCAGCAGGTGGACTGCAGTAGGTATCCCAACACAACAGACGAGGAAGGTAAAGTGGTGTTGCTCTGCAACAAAGATGTCAGCCCCATCTGTGGGACTGATGGGGTCACCTACGACAACGAGTGCCTGCTGTGTGCCCATAACCTGTGAGTACTGCATATGCAGAGCTATCCTGTGAGGGACAACGAGTGCTTAGCACTCCTGGCAACTGCTTTTCTGAATATCAGGACTTCCACCAAGGCTGTTTCTCTAAGTTCTTGGACTTTGACCCTCTTCTTTCCCTGGTAACTAGACGCTGTTTTCCTTTGTGAGTAGAAAGAAAAGTGCCTTTGATCTAGAGAGAGAAGTAGGGGGCTGGGTGGGGATCTAACACAGGACAGAATGCTTCTCTTTACTAACTTAAAAGGGTCCATGTGGCAGATGTTGCCTTGCAACTGACCTAAGGTGCATCTACATTGTCACACAACCTACCTCCTCATTCACCCTAACACCCTGGACACTCCCTTGTCCTTTGCATTATGCTATAAACCAGCACTCTGGCAGGCTGTGACACCACCTGCACTGGTATCTAGAGCCATGTGGACACAAACTAATTTGGATGTCTCCTGTATCCTGTCTGTTACACCTGAAGCTGATCGGCATGCCGTAGTATGGGAAACAAACAAGAGGAATTG